CCAGAAGAGGGCGTCGGATCCCCTGAAACTGGATTTTTATGGATGATGCCGAGCCATGTTGTTGGTGGGAATCTAACCTGGGTCCCCGTCACCGCTGAGCCGTCCCGCCAGCTCCAGGTTTCTTAATGAACTCGAAAGGATAGTATTTATTTATATAGAATAGTTGTACCACAGAAAGGAAAGTGTTAAGTCCAAAGATGTTAACCACATCCGGATGTTCACTTTCTGAAGTTAAAAGAGAACCAAGAATCATATAAATTCAGATTTATTTTTTCAATTAAGGGAAATTCTTGTTTTCTTTTTCTTTTTTCAGAGCTGAGGACCGAACCCAGGACCTTGCGCTTGCTAGGCAAGCGCTCTACCATTGAGCTAAATCCCCAACCCTTTTTTTTAAATTATTTTTTTAATTACACTCATGATATTCATTAATTACACTCATGATATTAATTACATTCGTGGTATTCATTGATTACATTCACAGTATTCATTCAATAATTATATTTATGATATTAATTTATTAATTGTATTGATTCATTACATTCATGATATTATGTCCTAATTCTACTGTCTGTTTGTGGGACTTTTCCATCTCACAAAACAGAGGTTCTGAATTAGGGAATCATTGCTCTATATTCCTTTCTTCTCCATATTGAGATAATGGGAGACAGGAGTTCTTTGTGCAGCTCTGGTTGGCCTCAAACTCACAGAGATCCGCCTGCCTCTGCCACCCTGAGTGCTGGGATTAAAGCAAAGGTGCGTGCTACCACCGCTCTGCACGCTGTCTTTATTTATTTATTTATTTGTTTGTTTGTTTATTTTGGTTTTTTCGAGACAGGGTTTCTTTGTGTCATTTTGGTGCCTGTCCTGGATCTCACTATGTAGACCAGGCTGGCCTTGAACTCATAGAGATCCGCCTGGCTCTGCCTCCCGATTAAAGGTGTGTACCACCGCCACCCGGCTATGCTGTTTATTCTCAAACACCCTTTTAGGTAGCAGAGGTTCCCACCATGCCAAACACAAGGCACTTTTACACTTGCACACTATTTCCAATTGCCTGGCGTTCCCATCACAATACTTAAAATTCAAAAGGAATTGCGAATGCTTTCTTTTCTGTTTTACAGGGAAAAGATGGTAATGCTATTTTTTATTTTGCTTAATTATTTTATTCTATTATGATGTTAAAAACCCATCAGCTTTTTTGAATCTCAAACCCATTTCAATCACCTTACTCGGTGGTATATACATTAGAGAAGACAGAAGAACACCAAATAGTTACTAGCATGAGGCTGGAGCTCAGGAGTCACCACAGCTCTCTTTCCTCTTCTGTTAACCTCACAGAGGTGTCCAACCTTTTGCCATTGTGACATGATGTTCATGGCCTTCCATGGGATGTGTGCGTGAGCGCGCGCGCACACACACACACACACACACACACACAAAATAAATACATATAATAAATGTTTTTTAAAAGAAGAAAGTAACTATTTTTGTTTCAGCCACAAAACTCACATGCCCTGACAAGTTTCACCCCTGGACATTCATTTTTTTTTTGTAGATGTTATGAACCACAAGGATGAAATAAATGATGAAAATCATTGGAACAGTACGATACAGTGCAGATTAAAAGCTAACAGGCATAGGAGCTTAAATAGTTGCACTAACAGGGCAGACAAGCATTTTCCCTAAGGAACCTTAAGAAACTTTAATATTACTACATTTAACATTCTGTGACAACTTTGAGCACTGGTCTTCATATAACCATGCTTTCTTCATATAACTATCCACAATTAGTAGCATCTTACCAGCAATTTATATTGCATATGCTTCTGCATATGCCTCTAAACTTTTCTTCCTTTATAAAAATTATCTTATTTATTTATTTATTTATTTATTTATTTATTTATTTATTTATTTATTTATTTATTTAGGCTGGCTGCACCTTGTAGCTCTGGCTGGCCTACAGCTCTCTATGTAGACCAGGCTGACCTCAAACTTACTGAGATCTATCTACTCTGCCTCCCCAAATGCTGGGATTAAAGTAAAGCCCATGCTACCATGCCCAGCTGCCTCGATAATTTAAAAAAGATTTTATCTAGGTGTGGTGATGCATGCCTGGAATCCAAGCACTTCGGAAGTGGAGGCAGAATCAAGAGCTCAGGTCATCCTTAGCTACATGGGAAGTTTGGGGCCAGCCTGGGCTGTGTGAGACCTGTTGTTTTTTAACCAAGTTATATTTATTATTTGCTTGTAGCTGGTGGAAGGTGTGTGTGTGCCTGTGTACGTGAGTGTGTGTATTTAAGTCAAACATGGGGGTCCTGGGGATTGACCCAAGGTCATCAGTCTTGGTGGTAATCATCTTTACCCAATGAGCCATGTCTTAGCAAAATAGTAAATTAAAAAAAATACTTTTAAAGAGGAAACATGTCAACATAAAACCACAACTCTTACCTCATCCGGAATATAAGTTTATTCTCAGCCAGATATGAGTGACCATGGCTCAAGAACATGGATTCGGATTATCCCAAAACTATGTTTCAATGTAAAAATAATGAAGCAGAATGAAAGGAGGTAATAAATCAAGGAATTTGATAAATACATTGTGGGGATGTCATAGGTGAGTTAGAGCAAAGAGGGAAAACTCTGGTATAGGTTGTAAATGGCGTCTATGATGTGTAATTTTGGATTGGGGAACTAAGTGAATGCACTCAGGCTTTATGTGATGGTTGAAAGGATGTTAGGTCAGAATCAAAGGTTAGCACTGAGTGATTAGTAAAGGGACTAAAGATAGCCCAAGATGATTTGTTTCTAGATCTGTAACATTCCAACTCTCCACAGTCATGAAGTTCTAATTTATAAGCCTGGTAGGCTCTTTAACATAGTTTTAGCTTTTTCAATAGGGGTTTAAATTTACATAGGCAGTGCCTTCTCAGGTTTCAAATATCATTAATGTTTTTGAGTATTCAAGATCAAAATGCCTCATCCTACTTTTATGATTTGTGTGTGGGGTGGGGAGGCACACAGGTACCCCTGCATGTGTGGAGGTCAGCTCTTTGTGGAGTCAGTTCTCTCCTTCCAACTTCCTGTGGGTTCCAGGGATAGAACTCAGGTTGCTTGTACTTTAAGCTATTTTATGTCATTAGGAAGACATCTGTGACAGTATGCTGATCACGGGAAATGACTAAGATTCTGTGTCCACTTCTTGTGAGCGTCAAGTGAGATGAGATGGATACAGCTGAAACAGCTTGTGGCTGTCACGGTGAGGGTTCCGGGACAGAGTTACACAATGTAAGTTACATGAATGCTAAAGGAGGTGTTGACCTTCATGTCTGACTGGGTCTTCACAAACATGAACGTCCGTCACCTAGAAAGGAGAGTTAGGCTAGAGCAGCCAGAGGGGACAGGACGCGCACACGAAAGCATGGGAGCAGAAGGCGCACGCACATGCGTGCTCAGACTTCCCACTTTGTGAGCCTGGAGGGTGGAACTGATGACGTGGCTAGGGTTAAGGCTGATGGAAAGGTCTGTAAGAAGTGGAAAGCCATTTGAGTATTTCCAGCAAGGCCGGAGAGCAGGTGGCTCAGGGGTTAAGAGCACTGACTGCTTTTGCAGAAGATCCGAGTTCGGTTCCCAGCACACATCAGGTGGCTCCCAATCATCTGTGACTCCAGCTCCAGGAGGATGAGATGCTCCTGTCCTCTGAGGGCACCTGCACCCTCACACCTTCCCCTCCCCTCAACGTAATAAATCATGAAAGTGTTTGAGAAAGTCAGGGTGAATGAATGACTCAGATGTTGCTATAATCATACAAGTGAAAAATTAAGCATTAAGTTTATTCAGTGGAAGAGGAACAAGGAAAATAGGTAAGTCCGGACTTTACGACTGAAGTAGGAAATGATGTTTATGCCTATGGTTCCTCTTCTTCAGAGCCAAGAACTTGGATGTTGGGGAGGATGAACTAATACAGGTAGGTATACAGAAATGGTGAAGGGAAAGACTTCACTCATTCGTTCATTCACTCATTCATTCATTCATGGTACAGTGCCGAGGATCAAACCCAGGGCCTTCAGTCTGTCCTAGGCTAGCATTTTTCCAGTAAGCCACAGCACAGTCCATCAAAACCAGCCTTGCAAATGTAAGAACCTGTAAGCTTTAGCTTTCTTAGAAGAATAACCATGCAGATTAAGGCTATAAAATTAGTTTATTTCAAATGTGAAAATATAAAAACTGCTTGCATAAAAGTTTGAGAGTATTGAAGCATCGAAACTTTAAGGTCTATTTTAATCAATGTACTCAAATTCAATTGAGATAATATTCACAGCAGACACAAACATGTAGAATTTTAATCCTTAAGAGGATTAAAATCCTGGGGGAAATACATTCTGTTACTTGATCAGAGCACAGGACTGTAATGTCCAGTGATGTGGACCCCACCGAACCTCCCAGAGGAGGGTGGCTTGATGACAATTATAGGCATCAAATGGTCATGGATGGTGACTGGGGAAATGACCGTAGACCTATTCCTAGCCAGTAGGACTTGAGACTTGAAGAAAGGCTTGCTGGGAGAACCTCCAGGAAAGGTATCTTCAGGTCTGTGAAGGAATCACTCATCTTCTTCCTCTGGTTGCTACCAGATCTCAATGAACCTGTAGATCAGTCACAGGCATCATGTGACCAGGCCGAGAACAGAGCCAGTGCTTCAGACAGGGGCAGAGCAGGTGAAAGCAGCTGACCCATGGTGTGCCCAGCTGTTGACCCTGCTTCACTTGAACTTCTTATGTGGGCTATAAATGTCCTCATTTAGTGGTCTCTGTTACTCACAGTGACGTCAAAGCTTCCCAAGCGAAGCAAGAACTAATGGTATAGAAAAAGTGAACACTGGGATGATTATGACATGTCAGGGGTTTCCTAAAACTTCTGTCTACCAACCGTCTCCTTTACAGTCATTTCCAAACTATGTCACCCCTTTCCTCAAGTGTTGTCACTGGTTTTTGTTTTTTGTCTTTGTTTGTTTGTTTGCTCTTAATACTACCCCACCCACCCATCTGTCCTTTCACAGATGGTTTCTGAAAAACAGAGAAGAGGAATGGGGCCAGTTCTCTTCCTTTTAGTTCCTGTCAGGTGTGAGCAGATGTGTCTTTTCCAGGCAGTATGAAGCTGTGGCAATGAGCCTTGCCCTGCCGGAGCTCCAGAGAGGCTCCTGAAGGACAGACTGGACAGTCTTCTAACCAAAATAATAATAATAATAAAAACAAAGCTTTAAAAAAATCATGACATATCCTTCACTTCTTTGCCTCTTGTTCATATCGAAGGCATTCCTATACATTTTTAATAACCCTCAAAATAGTGCATGCAAAATGCTAGGCATCATTTGGCACACGGCGCCATTACCTGCCATTACCTATAGTGTCTGACTTAGATGAGGTCACACTGGCGCCAGCACTGAGGCATGCCCCCGTCCCTGAAGGCTCTGGAACTGAGAGGCCTTCCTACAGACCACTAGAGCTTTGCTTTACTCTCATGAATAACACCCCTGAACTCTTTCATCTCGGGGCTACTGTATGCCTTTTATTTTCATAAACAAGCAGCAATTTTGGCATTTCTTATGACAAAAAACCCATAGGAAAAGGCAGGCATGCCCAGGGAGGTTCCTGGGCGGAGTGGTTTCTCTGTTAAGGCTGGCAGAGTCTGGTCATCCACCATCTTCAGGGTTTCACCGTTCAGCTGGACAGATCTACGGAAAGGAGAGACAGGCCTGAGTTGGGCAGGTTGTGCATGCACTATGGCCTCTGAGAAAGCTGTGAACTAATTTTAAACCATGGAGGACTTCTGTGGCAGCGTGAGTTATATAATTTGTATTTCCGCACTAGGTGAGATTAGATGTCTGACCAAGACAAACTTAGAGCCACAGAGGGAGAGAAAGTAACTGGAGCAGAGCCCGTCCGGCCCGCCAAGCCCGCAGCAGTACTGTCTGGCTTTTTACAGAAACATGCACAAACTATGCACCTGTTTTAATCTCTTTTTCCAAGATGGCGTCACAGACATAGCTCAAGCTGGAACTTACTGTGCGACCCTGACCGGCCCCAGACTCCCAGTGATCTTCCTACCTCCTCTACACCTAGGTTCTTTATCTTTTTCTGAGGTGATTTTTGTTATTTGTAAAAACTGATAGGATTGATGAGTGTTATGTTTACGCCATATATAGAACACACGTGACACATGTATAAGTCATCACCATGCCTGCGTACAGTAAGCACTATGGAAATGTTATGTATTGCCATTTTTTTTTCATATACATGAACATAACAAGCCAGGCCTGTAATCCTAGCACTGTCAGGAGGTGGAGCCAGGGGTTCACAGTCTTCCTGACTACACAGCATATTCAAGGCCACAGGAGACCCTATCTCAAAAACTCCTAAAACAAAAGTAACCCATTACATCATCCTACTTTTAATACCTCAACATATTTTTCCATCTTTCTATGCATATAAACACATTTTACTTTAACGGTTGTGCTTATGCATATGAGGGTTGTGTCTACATGCCAGAAGAGCATCGGCTCCCATTATAGTTGTGAGCCACCATGTGGCTGCTGAGAATTGAACTCAAGACCTCTGGAAGAGCAGCCAGGGCTCTTACCCTCTGAGCCATCTCTCCAGTCCTGTATATATTTTCTTAAAACTTATTTTTCATTTACTACATTCTCATGTTTGTTCATATCATACAGTATTCATCCACTGTATCATTTTAGTGACACACAGCACAGGATTCTATGCTGTGAATTCATTAGTGCATTTACTTAATTCTCTACTTCTAGATATTTTGTTTCCATGGGGTGCTATCCTGTGTTTTTCCTTCTTTTTTCACAGGTTCTTTCTCTGTAGCTCTGGCTGGCCTAGAACTCACTATGTAGACTAGGCTGGCCCCTAACCTGGGAGCCATCCTCCTATTTCTGCCTCCCAAGCGCTGGGATTATAGGTGTGCACCATCATGCCTAGCTTGCACTGCTCATGTTTTAAAAGCCTTTTCACCTCTTTTCTAAGACTGGATCTCACCATATAGCTCTGACTGTCCTTGAACTCACTCTGTAGCCCAGGCTGGCTTTGAACTCACAGAGATCCCCCTGCCTCTGCCTCCCGAGTGCTGGAATTAAAGGTGTGCATCACTATGTCCTGCTCCACCTCCTGTCCTTACGAGGGTCAGTGGGTAGGAACTGGGTTCCATATAACCTTTGTCAGAAGCTCAGCACCTAGTCCCACAACTCAAGGCATACTAACAACATGCCACAATTGGGCCAGCAGATACCACCAAGGCTATTCTGAGGTGGATTCAGTCCACAGGCTTTGGTTTTGTTTTTACGCTCACATATCACATCAAGTTTATATAAGGAAGCAGAGGAAATATGACCATCTTCAGGAAACCACAAGTAAAAATAGGTCTTGAAAGATATCTCTGAATACTGGTAGTAAGAGCACTCAGCATGAACTGAAGGACTGTTTGAGAATGCCTACCAATGCCAGGCGGTGGTGGCACATGCCTTTATCCCAGCACTGTGGAGGTGGAGGCAGGTTGAGCTTTTTGAGTTTGAGGCCAGCCTGGTCTACAGAGCAAATGCCTACTGAAGTCCTAGGATCAATTCAGTGCTTTGCTACCTCAACTTGAAGGTAAGTTTGATATTGTGAATTAATAGTGCTGTGTAAGACAGGAACACAGCAAGATTCCACCTGCTCAGGTTGTGGTGTTTAATCAACTATACAAATGTGCCCTGAGGGATGTGGGTTTAAGTGGATTCAGCAATGAGAGTGGGGTTTCATCTGAGGGAAGTAACTGGCTTCATGTTTTGAAGACAGAAACAGGAGGATAAGGAATAGAAGACAGGTCTGTTGGACTGCAGGTGAGATAAAGGTTTAAAGAATTAGTAAGCAGCAGGTTTGGCAGAATTGAGCAGCCTTGGAAAAATTCACCTGAGATAAATACATAAATACTGTTCAAATACTTTCACTCAAGGCTGGTGCGTCAGCTGACAGCCTGATTCTGGTGCCCCAGACCCCCATGCTGGAACTTCCGCATGCTGCCCTTTGACCTCTGCACTCGGGAATGCACCCAAAATGTACTTAGAAACAACAGAAATAATTTACCAAGAAGCTGTTTCCAGCCATTTTCTTACTCTATCCACCCCTCCCCCCAACTACTGCAGTGCTGTGGGAGAATCCCCCCCAGCTCTGTGTGGTGTTTTTAGTCCACCCACACGCCCTAACTAGATCAGACGGATGGTTCTGTGCCACTGGCTATCAGTATCCTCGGAACAAATACTCTAAATGTGGAAGTACTCTACACGTGATAAACACCAGCCACAAACCCTTTATCTACAATGGTGTCCTGCTTGAGAGATATGCTGGGGCAGTGGTGGCACAAAGCTTATGGGAGACACCAACCAATAACTGATCTGACTTAAGGCCCACCCCACGAGATAGAACCCATATCAACACTGCTTGGGTGACCAAGAACCTGAGACTAGATAGCTAGCCCAGGGACCTAGGGCAGAACCGAATAATACTAATCTAAAAAAAGAAAAAAAAATGTAGTGATGAAACAGCTCCTAATGATATTCTCTCTTCTCATGACCAGTGCCTTGTTCAGCCATCATCAGAGAAGCTTCCTCCTGTATGGGACACATATAGAGACCCACAGCCAGGCATTACACAGAGAGCGAGAGACCTGGGAACACTCAGCCCTAAAGGGGACGTCTCCATCAAATCCTTTCCCTCAGAGCTCAGGGAACCCCACGAGGAGAAAGAGCAAAGAGTGTAAGAGCCAGAGGGGATGGAGACACCAAGAACACAAGGCCCTCTACATCAACATGAGCAAAGCTCATGTGAACTCACAGAGACTGAAGCAGCATGCACAGGGCCTGCCTGCATGGGTTTGTGCCAGGTCCTCCAGGTGTATATTATGGCTTCCAATCTGGTGTTTCTATGGGGTCCCTGAGTGTGTGAACAAGTGGGTCTCTGTGGGAGTCCAGAGATTTCCTAGTGAGATCTGAGCTGGCTTTACCCAGCAGAGCTGCATAGGGCATGGATTGACCATGTGCATGGTTACCAGGTGTTTGGAAGGATCTGTACGTGGCTGTGCTAGGGGGAGGTCTTTTGCTCCACCCCTTGGCATTCCTTTAAAATACCCTTTAGGAGCAGGGTGGTGGTGGTGCATGCCTTTAATCTCAGCACTCTTGCACTCGGGAAGAAGAACCAGGGGGATCTCTGTGAGTTCAAGGCCAGCCTGGTCCACAGAGCGAGATCTAGGACAGGCACCAAAACTACACAGAGAAACCCTGTCTCGAAAAACCAAAAACCAAATGACAACAATAAAAAAAAAAACAAAAACAAAAAAAAACTGGAGAAAAAACCCTTTAGAAGAGACAGAAGGGACCAATGGATTAGGATCCGGGACCTCCCAAAGTTATCCTGTGTTTCTAGCTGTATCCCCCCTCTATATTTCTATCGAAATCTCTTATCCCTCACTCCTCAAGAGTACCCTGAGGAAAAAAAGTG